TTTTATACTGGCTATAAAGGATTTTTGATGTTTGGCTTTCAGTGCACGTGCTAGTAGTTTCCTGCTCTTATTACTGTGTGCGTAAAAGGAGCTCTCGTCAATTGGGCCGATCTATACGCTTTTAGGGACAGAAGGGTTCGGAGCTCGAATCTGAGAGCCGTTGGCTTTTGGTAAGTTTCTTGGGTGGGATTCTGTTTGTGTAGTGTTTCCTGCTCATGTATGGGGTCAGATAAGGTGACCTGTTTGTGTGATCTTTCTTAATTCTAGAGCCCCATTTTATCAAGGAGGTTGTTCTGCTGTGACAGGACCTAAGCGGGTTAATTTAATGAATGGATAGCAGGACTGCAGAATCCTTAATGGATTTCCCCTGTTGTGGGGTATATCACAATGTCCCGTTGGGTGGACCCGGTTCCGGGCTGCCTAAAGACCCATTAATCTGAATTAAGGGTCAGTACTTCTGAATGTGAGGGGTGTGGGAGCCCGGTTGGCAAAAGTTCATAGACATTATGACAGCTTGAATAGACGGGAACTGAACATAGTAGAGTTTAGCTAAGATAATATAACCATTTATGTGTCCTCAGTATGTGACTTCTTTAAGACCTGTTAGTCTAATTCAAGAGTGTATACTTGGAAATGTGGGGGCCCAAGTAGCCTAATGTCATAGATATTATGTTTGGCAATAACAACATGAATAAACTGAAACGAACTACGTTGAAGTTTGGCTTAGAAAAGAAACAAACACAAAACTAAAAATATTTGCATTATGCATCTTCAGTAAATGAGGTAGATAAGGTAAAGGATATACGTGGGCTTCGTGCCGCCTTGTCTCTAGGCGTATTGGGGGGGTATCAGTCCCGGCCTGGGTCTGCTGTCTGCGTTTCCTCTGTGTTCTTTGCCACCTGGGTCTTTGCTGTTTCGGTATGGACGTGCAGCTTGTTAGGCCAGTCCAGTCCTCCACTTCAGTAAGGGGTGGGCCCAAGGCCCGTTGAAATTCCGGAACGTCCGCTGGTGTGGTGATGGTGTGTGTTCCATTGTGGGTTGTCAATGTAAGGGCAAACAAAGTTCCAACGAAATTTGATCTGCTTCTCCAGTAGTGCCAGGGTGATGGGCTTTAGTGCTCGTCTGGCTTGTAGTGTGGAGGGTGAGAGATCCTGGTAGAGGGTCACTGGGTGACCTTCAAGCTTTAGGTCTCTGTTTTGCCGTGCCTTGCGGAATATTTCCTCCTTTAAGGGGAAATCATGGAGGTGGCAAATGAGGTCGCGTGGTCTGTCAAATGGGAGGTTCCTAGCTCGCGCTGCTCTGTGCGCCCTATCAAATTGGATTGCTGTCTCGGGGGTCTGGCGAGAATTAAATTAAAGAGGGTGGTCAACACCTGAATAGGGTTCTCTTCGGTACCCTCCGGGCTTTCAGGTATTCCCCCTCACTCGCAGATTGTTCCGTCGGCTAGTTTCCTCTGGAGGTACAGTATGGCATCTGCATGTAAAGTCTGCGTTTTGTGGCATTCAGACCACAATCTTTCAGTGGCTTCTTCCGTGTCCTCCAGGGCCTGTACTCTGGCTCCTAGGTGTTGGACATTCGTGCTCACTGCCTGCAACTTTTCACTGAAGGTGTTCTCCAGTCTCTGGAACATGTCTACGAGATCCTTCTTCGAGGGCAATTGTGTGAGTATTGATCTGATGTCCGTGTCATCAACTGATTCCTCTGATGGGCTGGGTGGCTGGCTGCCTTGTGTG